CATTGCAACGTGGAATGATAAAGATCTGTGAAGGGGGGCAAGGTAATCCAGAACTACAAGGGTCACACTTCAAGGGACTGACTGTGCACCTAAAATAGGGAACACTCTTGGAAAATTAGTAGTGGCTACTTTATTCTAATTATTAATATCCTGATTTATATTTTAAGGAACTGAAGTGATTTACTGGAATATATGAAGCAAAAACGCTGCTTTGGACGTGCTGTGCAGGTGAACTTTGCTTTAAAGAAAGAAGAAATAAAATCCTCTATACTGCATTGTCATCACAGAGTGGTATTTATTCACTATCTCATTAATCTTTAGTAACAAATATTAACATACTACAGAAAGTACTGTAAGCCAAACATTGCATTTTTCCTTAAAGATCTGCTTAGACTTGTGAGTTTAGAGGACTTTTATCAGGAGATATTACTTGATAGTCATATTTTCGTCACCCTTCTAGCTTAAGCCAAAACTCTGCATGAATTTCAGTTTTGTTTTTGCTTATCTCCTCTTTGGGTGGCCATTGCTGAGCTTTAGGACTTAATGTCATATTAAGCATGAGGCATAGTTTACCTGAGAAATATTTAATAAGAAATACGCTTAAAGAACAATTATAAAGTTATCATAATACTATATACAGTTACTAAACTTGGAAAGACCTCTTTCAGAATGAATTTTAAAAGGCTTCATATATTAATGTTGCATATTAATGTTGTAATTTCTATATTTTTTTTAAGGATTCCCAAGCATCTTTCTTATGCTTTTCTATATACATTGTTTTAAATAAATAGTATGTTTTTCATTAAATGAGTAAACTTTTCTTCTCCAAACTAAACACGTAATGTTTAGGTTATTAGGATTTTCACCTGCAGGAAACTCTATATTCTAAATGTTGTGTGCTCCATAGGGACAACTGAAAGAGCCTAAATAGGCAGCGATTTCTTAGTTTACGCCAGCAGCTATGTTTGTTATCATCCCTTGAAGTGACAGCTGTTCATCATGTATTCTTTGTCTCTGTTTCACAGATTTAACTCAAAATTGCCTTTTGCTTCTCTTAAATGGATTGTTAGAAAATCAAAGTTATAAATAATCCATCTCTGATAAGATTACCTCAAGAATATGATGCCCAAATGAGCAGATCCTTTTTCAGTAAACTAACAGAACCGTAGGCAGTGTAGACATCTCCAGAAAAACTACTTCAGATTTATACTGCCATCAGTCTTGCACAAAAAGACTAAGGGAAAATTACAGTTAAAAAAACCACAAACTCACACTTAATCTTTCAAATTAGTGTGTAGTTGGAATAAAAATGTTGATTAAGATTGCTAAAGAAAGATATCTTTGCCAAGGAAAATAGCATTACTGTTGCAATACTCCAGGTTTGAGGATTTGGGTTTTTTTTATAGTGAACATAACTCATTGTATTCAAAAGACTTTTTCTTAGGCCAAGGTAATACTGGAAGATGCAGCTCAACAGCACAAGGATGAAAAAAATATACTTTTGCTGGGATAAGCAAGGTTTCTCTTTTTTTTCTTTTTTCTTTTTCCTTTTTCAGATGAGAGAGACTAGAAAATTGATCCAAATGAAAGTTTCATGTTTCATGTAGGACTACACCATACACTTTTTTCCAAAGGTTAATAAAGCAAGGGCTACCTAAAATAAAAGCAGGCAAACAAACAAACAAAAACTCTGTTGGACGAGATCACTTCTCAGGAAATATAATAAACACATGAAATCTGATATACCACAAGGAAAATAAAGATTCATATTTTATTCATGGATTCATCAATGGTTTCAAGAGACTACCAGCACAGGCAGATTTTTTATGCCACATTAATATTTTATTGGTTTTTATGGAAGGAAAAAAAATGAACAGTGAGGATAAAATGGTACAAATAACATTTAAAAGACAGAGGAAGAAAGGGGATTTTGAATTAATAAGACTGAACAGACACGAGAGGGAAATGGTCAAAATATACCGGACAGGTATGGGCATCACATGCAAGCAGGATCTTCACACAGAGCTCACAAGGCTTCTCTTTCCTTGTTTCCATGTGTAAGAAACTCATCAGACTTGGTTCTGACAGCAGCCAGATTTGTATTCAGAAAAGTGGGAAAAATGAATGGCCAGAGAGAGTGAAAAAAAAAAAAAAAAAAAAAAAAAACAAAACACAAACCAAAACCAGTGTATCTGAACCTAATTAAACTTTTTTCAAGAGAAATAGCAAGTGAGGAAACAGATGGGCATGCCAGGGCCCAGAAAAGTGCCTGTCCTGGTGCTTCCCCTATCCCTGCACCATTTCAAACTGTTTTGCAGCTAAGTGGGACTTTTCCCTCAAAATTGTGCTCTCACACACAGAGATCAAGGATGACTATCTCAGTAAGGCCGTACCCTCCTTCTCTCACCCCTGGCAGCTGCTGCACATTCAGCTCATCTGTTGAGAATGGTGTAGCCACAGCAGCACAAAATTTTCCAAAGTGGAAGATGTCTTTACTCCTTAAAGGATCACAACCTCTTCCAACTTTGAACAATTTTTTTTTTTTTTTTCCTAGCAGAGGTATTACAGCTAAAAAATTATAGATCATTGTTTCTTATTTACAGTGGGAAGTCCATGCCACAGCCAAAACTCGCTGGAGAAATAAGTAATTTCTTTTAAGTGGCAGAAAGTGTATTGTTAAAATGATAAGAAAACGAGGAGGCAAAATTAAAGTGCTTTGTCCAAGATGATATAGCTGTTCTACAGCTGGCCGGAGAGCTGATCTGGGATCCGGGAGGGGGTGTGAGCTGTGCAGAGGCAGCGCTGGCTTCACTGCCGGGGCACTGAGACGCTCAGCTCCCACCCGGCACCATCTCTGGGGGGAAACCAAGGAACCCCTGAGCAATGGAGGTTTGACAGACTTAAATTCAGCTTTAACCCAGCTAAAATAACTCTAGCTCTAGTTATTTCTAGAGGCTGGATTTGCTCCTCATATATACTCCCATCAGGATGGCTTCACAAAAGATTATTTCAGACCTCCAAGTCCCTGCTCATTATTCCCCAAGTACCAAGCCAAGTAAGATGGTTTGCAGACAATATTTGTGTGCAGGATCCTGCATCCTTTATCCTTCATATCACAAAATGATTAAGAAGGCTACAATATATTTTGCTATGTATTCTATCACATTATAGTTTTTAAAAATATTATCTCTGACTATGTATAACCTGTCCTGGATGGAAACGAAATAAATTCCTGAGACTGTTTGATCTACGAAACTTCATTGCATTGGTGAATAAGCCCTACCTGCAATATATAAATGTCCTATACTCTTCCCTTACACTTCAGGCTCTCATATTTCTGCAAAAATATATTATACAAGCGTGGTCTGCCATTGTGGAGTAAGAAAACAACTTGGGGGTATTCATAGACGTAGACCGTTTAAATTTATTTCTCCAAATATGTAAAGAAAATTGATCCTGGAAGACTTATGTATTACTGTAATTAGTTAGCCAAATAATTACATCATAGTACTTAATGTTTTTGTTTCTTTGAAAGGGGTCTCCCGAAGCTACTAGACTCAAAATGTGTCCAGTGTAAACAGAAATAGGTACAATCTAAATTCTATCTGTGTTTAAATTTGGTTTAATCTGGAAGTCTGCTGATCCAGCTACTCCAAACTTACACTGAGGCAACTGTTAGCACAATTTCTCCCACAGTTAAATCAATTTAAACATTTTCCATAAATGATTTAAATGTTCTCATTTCCATAGACATAAATCCATCAGCAACAATTTAAAAATTTTCATATTTTTAACAAAATGTTCAAGACTTCATATTAATTTATATTTAAAACCCTTTACAAATTTTGAAAATGCTAGCTGTTTCTCCATAATTTTATAGTAGAATAACAAGATATACTGAGATCAAGAAAAATTAAGAAAGAAAACTTATTATATTTTAAATAATTTAAGGATTGTGGCACACAATTTATATATAAAAGCATCTTGTTAATCTAATAACACGACAACTATGCAGTAATCCATAACAGTATCTTTGCAATGAAAAGAACATTTAATTCTGAATGCGAAATTAAAAAAATATACCCAGCATTTATCATCTATTCTTTGGTGATAATTGTTAGCATTTATTATTTGTGCTATAGCCATAATTACCTCTGGGAATGAGAGTTTAGCATTATAAAAGCATATAGGAAGATTCAAATCCTCCCCTGAGGAGTTTACAACCTACTTCTTTTACCATGAATTGTAGGAAATGGACTGTTTTTCTCCTTAGAAATGTGTTTTGGGTTTATTTTTTGTTTGTTTGTTTTTTAGCCCCTAGTAATCAACTCTAATTTAACATCACTGACTATGATGAACTATGAGAGGATGAGTATGGTGTCACACAGGCAGGAGGCTGTGCCTGTCCTACATGGACACCAGAAGCCTTGTTCCATGTTAGGAAACAAGTTACATTTGACAAAGTCGTTCTTCCCATCCACATTTTCTTTTAAGCCATTCTTACACACGCTTTGGCCTCTACTGGGAATCACTTCAGCCCCAGGATTCCAATAACACATGCACTTTACTCAAGCACTATATATTGCTCATTGAGAGTGCTTCATCCGTGCTTGCAGAAGGAGACACTTCTCGTATGGTTGGCCGAGGGGAAAAGGCAGCCAATCTATTTCTGATAATGGATCAAACGTGGATTAATTCCTAGTCTGGACATGGGGCCCAGATACACCATGCCAAATTGTTGCCGCTCAACTGAAAGGGAGCTTCTGAGAACGTCTCTATGGGGTGGAGAGAGGTAAAGGGTGCCTCGTTCCATTAAAGATGTGATTTTCCTTCTGAAGACTGTTATTTCTGCTATACCTATGCCACTCTAAGGTCATGTGGGATTCATCCAGGCTTGGGGAGATGTGGGTAACAGCATTAATTTTGAAAAGAGAAGGTTTTTTTTTCTATTTTAGGAAATTTAATATAAGCTGGTTTGGATAGAGGCCATTTCTGTCAAGTGTTTTTAAAGCACTTTAATTGTGTGCCTTGTCCATGACAAAGTACTACAGCAATAAGACAAGAATAATTGATGTGTGAATCCTTTTCTTCCATCTCCTCTATCTAGTCCCCTGTTGTTTACTCTGCCACCATATCCCACCCGAGACAAAGGATTAATGCCAGTAATGTCAGGTCCTCCGACTTTATGATACTACCTCAGAGACTGACCTCCGAGGTTGCTCAAGAAATAATATGAATAGTATCAATAAATGCATCTGCTGTCTGTGCTGCAGTTATAAGGTGCTCGGTATAGTTCAATATGTAAAGATTCTTGTTCTTTTATATAGTTTTTTATAGTCTCCATATACAGTCTGTGTATATAATTGTATAATTCTAATGTTAGGAATGAAACAGGTCTTTTACTTTGAAGATCTTGGAATGGATATTGGGTTTATCAGTGTTGGCTCCTGATGTTTTCAGCTTGCTGCATCAGAATTTCTCTCTTTGATGGGTTCACAGATCTCCTCATGTCTCAGATCAGTTTTCTATCCTACCTGGTCCTGGATAACCTAAACCAAAATATTTTGGCCTGATTTCTATCTTATTTTATGACTGAAGTTATTGTTCCTTGATCCTAGCATTTTTTTTGAAAATGGGAACAAAATTTGATATATTTAACTGTGGAATACACTTTCAAAACAAAATAGTGTTGGTGTATGTCCAAAGATTAAAACTCTGGGGTTCAAATCCCACATTTTTTCCTTTTTTTTCCCTTCTTTTTTAAACTTTTTTATTTTTTTTCTTTTCACATAATCATATTAGTAGAAGTATGGACTGGAAAGGACCTCTGGAGGACTCTTAAGTGCAATCTCCTGCCTGATGCATGACTGTCACCAGCATGATATCAGGTCAGCAGTGGCTTTCTGAGTGGGTCTTTAAATTTCCCAAGTCTGGAGATGTCACAGTTACTCTGGGTGACCTGGTCCAGTGCTGCCTAGTCAGGAAGTCTCTATAATGTCTGGCTGTTTCCCAGCTGACAGCACCGACAAGAGTTTGGCTCCATAGTTTTATCATTTCCTTTCCAGAGAACCTCTCAGGCAAGATTGGACCACACTAAGGGGCTAATCATCCAACCCAGCCTCCTTGGCTTTCAGAGGAGGAGGTTGGGGAAAGTCCATGTAGGCTCTTATGTCAGCATGGAGATGAGACAGGTTAGCCAAGCATGGGTTGCTCTTGGTAAACCCTTGTTGGCTGAAGGACATCTCATCCTTCCCACATTATGCAATGAATTCGATGAGGATATGTTCAAGGTCCTTTCTGGGGACTGCAGGGAAGCAGACCAGCCTCCATCAGCTCCGCTAAAGCTGGATATTGCCATTGAATGTGAAACACATCAGCCGATCTACCTCTACAGAAAAAAATGCCCTGAGAAATGGAGCTTAATTTCTTTGAGATATCATAACCATCTCATATATTGCTGCACTACTTTACTAATTATAACAACAGCTACATATTTATTTCCTCTTTCAGTAGTTTCTAAATAAGTTCTTAGCTTCCCAGCTAAAGCTTTACAGTTCAATCTCTCCTGGAGCACTAGGAAAAAAAAAAAAAAAAAAAAAAAAACAGTCATTTGCTGGAATCATGAGCAGCTAATTTGCTGAGTTTAGTGTCATGAAGCCTGAAGATAATCAATCCAGTTCTTCTCTACATATATGAATGCAATACAGCACGCTGAGTATGGTAAATTATGCTGTTCAAAACAAGATGAAAAATCTTATCAGGTGAAACTGTAGATAAATCTTCACTGGCAGAACATTATGCTTCAGAATATCTCCAGATCCTTAGAAGACTTTCTCAGTGTCTCACAGTCAAAATCCATGCACAGTTGGATAATTACACTGAATTAGGATATGTTTATGTTTTTGTCTAGAATAGCAGTTAAATTTACAGCACAACTTTCCAGATTGCTGCAAGTTTTCCTCCTCCAAGTTCAAGAAGTAATTTGGACATAAATAAGTTCACATGGAAATGTTTAACTTTTATGAAAATTCCTTGCTCTTTACTGATTCTCTGTTTTCTTCCATGTACAATTTTTTTTTTTGAGCATTATCTAGTTCTTTCTTACATGAGATATATTATAGCAAAGTTCATCTTCTGTGCATCTAGAAGCCCTCTTTTCTGTTTCATCCAGCCATATCTAAAACAGATTTCTTAGATACATCAGTCAGTAGAAGTCCTTTTCTCTATCAAGCACATAGCTTATCTCATTTCAGGCACTGAGACAGATGATATAAATGTGAGCTGAGCTGGGCAATATAAAACTGCCTAAAATCCTTCTGAGGCTGTATAACTTCATAATTCTCCTGAGGTTCACTGAACAGTCATTTTTCTCTTTCTTCCTCCTTCTTTTAGGTGGGTTTAACTGACGTGACCAAAACTTACTGCCTGGAAGTAAAAAGGAAAAAACCTACTGTATATTTTACAGCTAGGTTGTAATTGGAGAACTGCACTTTACTAGACCTGCTGTAAAACCCCTTCATGGACTTCTGAGCAGTGAAATATATACAGACTTCAGATGAAAAAAACCCAAACAAACAAACAAACAAAAAAAACAAAACAAAACAAAAAAAACCAATCAAACAAAAAAAAAAAAAAACAAAAAAAAAAAAAAACAAACAAACAAACAAACAAACAAAAAAAAACCCACAACAAATAGAGGAACCATTTCCACACAGTTGACATTTAGGGCTGTACTGGGTCTTTAAAGTAAAATCCTGAGTAGGGAATTGATTCACAATGTCCCTCAAAATGCCGAAGAGTTATGACTCTTCAAGGTCTGGAAAAGGAAGATTTGGGGCAGTTTGTACCCTCTCTGGTATTAATAGCTTGCTGCATGATGACACTTCTTCACAGTTGTCCAGAAACTATTTGGGAACCCAGAAATGTTCCATATTTTGTTCTCTTCAGGTTCAGGTTTTATACTCTGCTATGAATAGCAGCTCTTTTGAAAACAAACAGACAAAGCAACCAGCAATATCTTTTCCAAAGTTAAAGTCCCTTGGTCAAGTTTTAGGTACCTACAAAGCAAATGGCTTCCTTCTTCAGTCCCCTGCAGTAGTTCCATGGTAGCAAACAAAGCCAGGTTGCCTACTGGAGAGCACAAAAGGGAAAGGTAAGTTTCTGAATTCAAGTACTTGAGCTTGAACAATTTTTCATGCATCAATATTTGTTGCTTTTTTTCAATTAATGGTTGTGTATACTTTGAGAAATAAAACCTGAAATAACCTTTGATTGCAAATTTTCAGATAAGCTCTTTTAAACAGAAAAACAAATGAACAGATTGTTCAGCCTCACCAGTTCTTTTCAAGTGCATATGTAAGGTCACAGGATTAGAGCAGACTCATATTAAAACACTGTGGCCCACTGGCCTCTGTACAGAAAAAATAAAAAAGAAAAGAAGTGTTATTCAGCCTTATTGCACTGATACACCTTCTCATGGCATCTGTAATGCTTGCATGCATCCAAATCAAAGAGTAAAAACTAGTGTAACAGTGTTGTGCTCTCTAATTAGAGAATTGTGAATAATACTGGTAATAAAAATAGCGTCATAAAAGGGTAAGAAAATTGCTTCCCCATAATAAAAAATGTCTCCATTGGGGTCACATTTAGATTTTATGTACTGACAAGGAAATCAGTCTCAGTAATATATTGTTAACTGACTTTTCCTCTGATCCTGAAATGTCTTCTCCACTCACATACATATTTCTAGCTTGTTAGGGAGGCAGCATGACAGTACAAAGGACTGAGATGTATGTCTGTGCATTGTAAGCATAACTTTTAGATGCTCTGAGTCAGGACTTTATAATCAGATAGCAGAGCTAAGTAAATGGTTATGTTCTACATCTTCCCCCAAAATAATAAAAGGCAAGTCTGAAGCATCTCTGGATAGAGGGAGAGTGTGCACAGCTCTTTTGAGTTTTTAAAATGTATGATTGGAAATATCTGCTGCTTTTTTGTCTCATGTTCCTCAAAATCTGATCAAACGCTAAAGATGATCTGAATTTACATGGGGGAAAAAAAGCACATACTTCCGCCATTATCTCCTTTTCTGCTTCCTTATAAATCCAAACTGGATAGCATCCAATTTCTCATCGCAACTGCCTCTGGAAATGAAAGAGAGCCTGAATAGAGGAGGAGATGAGCTGCTTTAAATGCTTTTTCATAGTTCTTCTCACTGCTATGAAAGCTTCATTAAAAGCTGCAGCTTGCTTGTTTTCTAACTCTTCCAAAGTAATAAGCATATAATTGTGCTGAAAACTTGGGAGGAGTGTATCACTGCAAGCCATTATGACATCGTTTTATTTCAAGGTCCTTTTGCATTTTCTTGGGAATCAGAGACCTCTGTCACTCACATCTGAAGAAAATTCAGTATAGTGTCTTTTTAAAGAGGACATTGAAAATTTGCAATGTCAATATGTCTACATAAATTGCTTCTTCATAGACTATTGACTGTGAGCACATGTTGTGTAGCATAACAATTATTTTGCTTTTTTTTTGTCTTAACCTACATTCAAAATATGTCAGATACAATTCTCACTGCTAACATACTAGGAGTCCTTTTGTGTTTATTTTGATTTGTTGAGATGGAGAAACATGAGTAATGATGAAGAAAATTCATGATGTCAGAATTTATTACAACTTATTCTAAAAAGTTCAGCTACAGTGCTAAGATCCACACATGCTATAAATGATTACATAGGCTTCCTTCTAATATCTACTGTGGTGCAAAACAATCTTGCTTGCAGATGATAATAACTGTTTTTTGAAACAGCTGGAAGGGATCTCAGACTGCACAGCTAGATGCATGCTTTTCATAACACTGAGGATGACAACAACAGTCAAAACTCTTAAATCACCTTCCAAAATGACAGTCCTTCAGTATCGAAAATCCACTTCATGGACTCACCAAATTCAATCCAATCTCGTATTTACCTATGAAGTTCCACTTTTGAAGTCCTGGGACATACTCTGTATGCATGATGGAAGAAAACAGAGACTTTTGCATTGTTCGAGGTTGAAGCACTGTGTTATCTCTCTTCTGATTTGCCCCAGAATGACAGCCCCAGGCATCCTTGTGTGCAACACAGTGTGGAAGGAACATGGTATTTACAAGATTTTAGATAACTCCCACCTAAAATGGAAGGGTAATTCTTGGGATGAACTTATATTAGCCAAGTAAGCCTAATGGGAACTCTGACAAAGGTATTTAGAAAATTAGATTCAGTTTCTGTTAAATTGAATGTACGTTTCTGTAGAATATATTTTCTGTGGAATCTGTTTCCTAGCCATGTTTCCTTGTCTTCTTTCAGGCTGCAGCATTAATTACCCTATGTAAAGATCACAGCACCCAAATAGTCATTCTGAATCTCTGTTCCATCTTTTTGTTTCTAGTTTTCTCTGGGATCTCAGTGAAAAATCCCTTCTAGTTTATAATGAAACAGAATGGATTCATGTCTCATAAAAAACTGAAACGATGAATTTTAAGTGGTTGTTTCTTTCCACAGAAACTCGATAACACCAGTGTTCAAGCTTTCCCCAAGCTAACTCTACACCAGCATTAAGAAATAGGAGAGTATATTTACATTTGTTAATTTTCTTTCACCAATGGAGAAAAATAAATAGGCATTCCAGAATAATAAAGATAAAACCCGTAGTGAGGCCAAACATATCTCCTGCTCCCATTGAACCAGTGGAAACTTCCTGGCATATGAAATAAAGATGGGTAATGCTGGTGAAAAGTTATTGCTTTACTTCATTCTTCTGGCCACACAAAAACTGGCTTTAGGATTTTATTCTTTGATTGAGGAACTTTACTGATAGAAATAACGACTTTTACACTACAGGCTTTACCCTAACTTGGAGGAAAATGTCTTCAGAAGCCAAATATCACTGTAGAATTGAGGATTGAGGGTGCTCCTAGAAGAAAATATCGAGCTACTTTCCCACTGCTTTTTTTTTTTTTCTCCTGAATTCCTAATTTTCAAACAAGAAATGCCCCAAAAGGTGTAAGTCCTTGAGGTTCTAGAAGTAAACCCCAAATTTATGATTTACTCTGCTCAATCAAAAGACTGTCCAGCCACAAAAGCCAACACATCTGGATAGGGAGTTTTGAAATGGACTCCTGAACACAGATGTGACTATTTTTTTTTTTTTTTTATTACTTAAATACAAGCTGCATTTGTCTTCCTTTTGTGCCTAATTTCAAAATCCAGAGAAGAAATGAGTGAAATGTTTGCTTTGCTGTCTCTGTGCCACAATATATGAGTTTTCATCAAAACCTCAAATATTTTCAGGTAGAGTAATCTCTAGACACTCCCGGAAGCAATTAATATTGTCTGGTTTTGTAAATGCATTCTGCCCATGGCTGTTTATCATGTGAACTATACAAATATTATTTTCATGGTTTCTGGTAAAGCTGTGATTGCTTATCCCAGAGTTACAGAACTGCCTAAGCAAGGTAAGCTTATGAAATGGTTTGGTGTTACCATTTGGAGCCAGGACATTTTTCTAATGAGCATCACTGGGGTCTGAGCTGGGTAAGTCTCTGGATTGACACTAAATGTGGGAAGAGGGGAGAAGGATGTTCCAACCTTGAATGGCTGACGTGCTTTTCTTCCCCTTCCTAGACAAAATTGCATGAGGAAAAGAGCTTGGAGGTGTGGTGCGTGGGCAAGTATTTTAATCCATTCCCTCATGGTCGACCTATAAGTAGAGGAACAGAGTTGGCTATTAGAAATTAATAAAAAATTAAGTAAAATGTCTCTGGAATTTTACTGAGAAACAAAAAAATAATTAAAAACATATGACATTATCATAAGCTTATCAACATCCTTTTTATATATTTTCTGTTATGGATAGCCATTTGCAAGTTCTTTTTTACCAATTGCAACAGAGAAGGATCTGGTGCTGAAGAAGAAGTACTTAGGCTTTATCCTTAAATATTTATTAGTACAAGAAGCAATGTACCACAATGTTCTGTCTTTGTGTCACATTCGATTCGCTTGTGTAGGTACAACCTGTAGGCTGCTGTTACACCTAAGAAACAAATCAGTCAAAGGACCAGGAGGCACTAATGTAAACCAGTCCCTGCCAATGATATGCACAGCTTTCTAGAGAAGTTGGCACATTTTTGCTTTGTGCTTTGCATTTTTACTATGTTTCATAGGCTTAGCAGCTTGCAGTGCAGGAATTGAATGTGGCTACATGTCACTAGGTGTTTGAGATGCTTATTTGATTTATATATATTTTTATGTAATGTCAGTGTTTCCCAGGTATGTGAGCAGAAGCTTCTTTGCTCCATTTATTGCCTTGCAAATTTATATGAATTAGGCAGTTATATAAGTTAGTATGAAATAGCCAATTATATACGTTAGTATTTCAACAAGAAAGAAAAAAAAAATCTGATAGGATACAGCAGTACAGAAAACCAGAGCTTATAAGTGCCCTCAGGCCCAGCCAAGGCCTTAACCTTTTTAATGTTTTCATAGCTCTTCCTACAATGACAGTAGTATCCACTGTTTCAATATAAAATACTCTGAAAAAAAGAAAATCGAGTGCTTCAAATCCCTCTGCCTCAGATGTGTCGGTTGTGTCCCGTTTTCAGGATTACTGAAAGAAAAAAGAAATTATTTTGGCCAGTATTTTTTTTCTTGTAAAGCTGCTGCATTCTGGGAGTTGTAGGAGTGCAGAAGGCAATGCCAAAGTCTGGCATTAAGACTAATAAGTCTGTGGGCAAAGGAAAGCTGTGTGGTACCTCCATCAGTGAGTCTTTCATACATAGTGACTTAAATAAATGGATTTGATTAAGGTGATCCAGAGGCAATTCAGCCACCAGCTCATCTAGAGCCAAGAAAGGAGAAGATATAGCTCAGTGGAAGGAAGGCAATGCTCCTTCGTTAGCACTGAGCTCCTCCAAGCTCCAAAACAGCTGCCACGGTGGTAATGAGGAGACCCATAACTACAAGGCCCTCTCTGAGCATCTGCCTTGTCCACAGGTCCAGTTTCCAGATGGTGTGTTTCAGCCTCAGGACCTAAAAGCATACACTGGAGAGGAAGGAAAGTCAGACAGTCCTACGAGCTGTCAAGTAGAGAAAGTGTCCCCAGGAGATGACTGACAGTTTTGCAGAGCAGACGAGACAGTATAAACGTAAAAATGGAGACAAATAGAGCAGATGCAGGGAAGCCAGCTCATCATTTTTCTCTTGTGAAATATCTTGCTCTAGCTCCAATTAGCTAGGAGAGGAGTAAATTGTCATTTCAAATCAGATTTCCAGGTTTGGGGAAGAGAACTGTGCTGAAGATTAAGGAAAACATCTCACAAAGAATATGAAAAAGGAAAAGAGCACCTTTATGGCACACCTGCAGGTGATACATATTATCCTCTTAATGCTTACCAACACTTTCTTTCAAAAATAACAAATTACCAGTTGTGTCTGCACAGTCTCTGCAGTTTTGCATTAGCCTTTAGCAGTGCTTCTTGGCCCAGGGCTTCACCTCACTGCAAGTGGTCTGAGCAACAGCAGTGGGTGCGTGGCAGGACCCACACATCCAGATCTCTTCCCAAGTCTGGAGAGGCTTTGCTCTGGTCCTTCTTGGACTTTGCCTGATGGCCAACCTACCCGTCATTGACACTGCCAAAGAGTTTACACTGAGTAGGCAAGCCAGCTGAAGTGCTAACTGTCCTCTAGTACCTCTCCAGGATTCCACCATGAATGCTTAAAGAAGAAACACATGTTCATGGGCATGAGGATATATGGAAATGCCTGGCCAGTGATACCGTCTTTTGAGGTTACTTCTCTGAGAGAAGTTACCCTTACACAACATATGCTGAATACCTGCTGATGTGTCCACAGGCTTCAGAACTCCAGCTCTGGGCACCCAGAAATGTCCAAATGCACTCTTAACGACTGACGTCCAATTACTCCTTCTATTTGTAAACACACAGTCCTTGGGAAGGTCTTTGGATACATGTAACCAGCAAAGCAGCACTGTAGGGCTGCCTCTTCACTAATCCTTCATGTCTCAGTCCAATATAATCCAATCTAACAGCCTCTTTTCTGGCCACAGGAAGCCCTTTTTATCTGTAGTTAGCTTCACATTACCAGATAATTAGCTGAGCACCTCTTTTCTTCCCATCTTCAGAGGCTAGAGCCTGTGTCCAAGATTTTGTCACTAATGTAAGGGGGGTTGATTCCCTATGTCCCTTGTGTGCCCTGTCTGGGACAATTTCCAAGCTGCAGCAATTCCAGGATTCACCATGTGCAACGGCAAAAGAAATCTGCGTACAGAAAGCAGGCGCTTCCAGGATCTCTCTTGCTGCGGTGGTGACTGCGTATGCTGGAATTTGTGTATGCAGCCACATAACCCATCATGGTAAAAGTAACTAAAGCAAAGTACAGAGTAGAGCAAGCTGGAATTTAATGATTTTATGATGACTGTTTTGTACCCAGACGCAGGTCATTGCACAGAGGCTGCTGATGGTTATAAACACGGGAATGGAAATATGTGGAAAGCACCAGAAGAAACAGCAAAACAGGGGTTAAAGGAATGACATTTTTAATTGCTACAGAAGATGAAGACCAAATTATATAAAGATGAGGTAACAGGACAGTGAAGAACAAACATGGAACCATAAAATAATGAGGCAAAATATCCTGGCCAAAATCAATTTCTAAAGCATATAAAAATCACATCCAGAATTAGTCTACTGTCTTCACTCCAGAAGAACCCAGAAGATAAAGTGAGAATGTCAGCAATGTCCCTTGTCCTCTGTCACACACAAGTGATCCTGACCAGACCACTTGGGCACACACGTCTCCGTGTTCAAGAGTACGCTGGGGTGAGGCTGAGCAGGACAAACAACCATTCGAGAGATTTGGCCAAATCTTTCCCCTTCTTAAGGTTTTGCATTTTTTGTATTGAATTTGTTAGACTGATTTCTTACAGCTGTGCTACTTCTATGTGTCTTCTTATATCATATTTCAGCTTAGTTAGAAAACATGCTCTGTTTTTTAATTGGTCCATTTGAGACATTTCCATCAAAAGCAGTTTTTTAAAAGAAAGAATGAATGCCTTTTCACCTTTGAACCTCTTCACCAGGGAGAGCAGGAGACATAAAGCTCTGAGCAGTACTGGTCACAGCCCCCCGCCCCAGGGAAAGCAGAGTATAAGCAACCGAAATGACTAGCAGAGATTGCAAAACCAGTTTTAACTTAATAAGGTAGGATATTTTTAGTATCACAGATATTTGCTATCATTTGCAACCTATGACTTTTGATTGGATTGATGGAGACACTTTAAATGAATTGCCCATATTTTTATATGCTTTTAGAGAATTACTGAAGCAGTTTGTGGATTAGTGTAAAATAAAAAACTTACGCCATATGAGTTCAGATGTTCATCATCTCCGTACATTTGATTATAATTCCCACTGTGAGTTCTGTTTTATAATTTCACTAATATATCAGAATTGTTTTATTTCCCTTCGTTTTCAGTGCTAATTTTGAAGCAAAGCTTGAACTTTTGCTGGATTATTGTAAAAATCAGAGCACCCAAGCCCTACCAAATATTAACTGTTTTTATACCTCTGTGAAAACTTTAACATTGGGTGGAAAGCCTACATTTATTCTTCAACATTCAATCCTTTTAAAAGGAAAGTCTGATAAAAACATTTGTCACTGGTGACTGCATTATCCAATGTATCTATTTGTTACAAAAATCTGTGCATGCTTTTCAACAAGAAAAGTTTATTTTTTCCCTACTTTCTAATTGTGGGGTTAAATCTGTACAGAGGATTGACAAGAGGAGGCTAATTTGGCTGGGATTTAGAAGATGTTGTAAATTGGAAATCAGCTTTTTGTTGATGAGGCACACAGAATTAAAGGCAGGTTTGTAAGGAGGGAAAGAAGTCATCTTTGCAAATTATTGTGTCAGCTGGGTAGAAATCTTGCTAGGAACTTGTCTCTCCTGCTAGATGACCTTTTTTGGGAGCTGAAAAGAAGAGGAATAGGAGGTTATTTGCCTCACCTGAGAATATTTTACAATAGTTTCTAGTATAACAATTAATAAAAAAATAGACTGATAGGGGAACAAGAGATATATAATTGGCAAAAATTGCTCTGTGGTGACTCAGCTGGGGCAATTGCTAGCTTTAGGTATCTGGTATTCAAGACTTTTGGAGTTTTGTAGCTATTTTCATATCAAAAGCTGTAATTTTCCTTGAAAATGAATGGCAGTTTCTCTGACTGAGCCCACCTGATTTTTATTGTCTCTAGTAAGACTCTTCAGCCATTGGCCTTTTGTATTAACTCTTCTCTGGTGTGGGCTTTTTTCCTTAATTAGAGGTACTATTTTGAAAAAAAGGCAAACTTGTTCCTCCATTTCTCCACTTCAGGATTAAAGATACGGCCACTTGCTGTCTTATTGCTCCTTGACTTTTAAAACTTATGTTTTGTTGCGTGATGACAGTTCAGCAAGCATTTCTGTGCAAGATCAGGAGAAGGTGAATAAGTTAAATAGCTCTTATACTCCTTCTAGAGTAAGAGCTCCAGTAGCAGAAGTTTCCCAACGAAGAGGCTCCAATAACTTACTTAAAAGCTAAGCTTATCTGTTAAACAGCCCTTAATCTTCTTTATCCAGCCCTTTTTAGAACAGAGAACACATGAATTATATGCCTAGCATGAAGACTTCTTTTCTAACTCAAATACAGCTTGCATCTTTGTGGATGTAGTGGGAACTAACTAAAGAGACTGTGTCCAGGTAAGTGCTTCCTCAGAAGGAGCAACGTGGTCACCAGAGGGTCAAAGCTCGCCCTAGTAAATAGGCAGATGTGATTGTGTGATGCAAGACAGAACTTTCATCAATACTAGAAAACTGATTTCTTTAGGACTTATGAAATATATGCAGATGAAGGCTGCCTCAGATCCTAGAAGACCGTGAAACAGTAGTTCTTATTATTTAGTAATTACAGATTTTAAGGGAGAGAATTCTTTTCCTTTACTTTGCTATCTCCATATAATCATACAATAGTTCAGGTCAGAAGGGACTTTTAAAGGTCATCCAACCCTCCTGCAATGAGCAGGAACTTCTTCAACAAGATCAGGTTCCCCAGAGCCCCCCTCCAACCTGGCCTTGAATATTTCCAGGGATGAGGCATTTACCACTTCTGTGGGCAACCTGTGCCAGTGTTTCACCACCCTCCTCTTCCTTAAATTCAGTCTGAATCTACTCTCTTTTAGTTTAAAACCGTTACTCATGTCCTATTGCAAGGCCCTACAGGGTTCTTGGATAGAAGTTTAGAGGATGGTTCACTGTTTTAAAAAATAATTACACCCAAATTCCAATAGTTGAGTCTGTGTATATACTATTTTGTGGCTAACTCTGTCTTTCTACCTCTGCAAAATTAATCTATCTAGAAAGTGGAGAAAGTAGACATGCGACTTTTCAGATGCTGATAATCTATTTATTTATTTACTACCTTGATGAAGCAACTAGGATACCAAGCCTCTGATAATTTTTTTGCTCATCTTACAGTGCTTTAATGTTTTTTTCCCCAGCTGCACACATGCTTGTCCTCTGAGGTTATTAAATGATTTTTCAGGAAACTGCAATATTCTTTACGGTTGTCATGCTCATACATATGGATAAACTGACTAGCTAATCCATTCTTTGTCAATTAAACTGAGTGGAAGGGGTGGGGGTGAGGAGAGGATCAGCAGTAACCCGAAAAAAATAAATTAAATAAGAGTAGGTCATTTTTGATAGAGCTTCCTTTATGGGAGCTTGGCTGCCCAAGAGTTTTCCTACACTGAGCTGCATTTGAAATTAAAGTCTCCTCTTTGGTCAAACATGAATTATCTACTGAACAATGGGAGGACTCAGTCCCTTGAGTGTGTTTGATTACTTATATCAGGTGATGTATGCATGCGCATCAGCAATTGGTGGTCTTAAACTTATAGAACATACTAATTAGATATCCCTTCTCCTGTTGTCTTTGGCAAATAAATTGCTGTCATCATTTTCACAGATTATTAAAAAAACCCTGCAAATAGAACATCTGTTTTTGATTAAACACACGCAGAGCTATTTCAACACATACCAATTAAACAAACTTAAACTTTGCTTTTCACCTCTTTTAATTAGTCAAACAATTGTTATAAAGATCTACTTTCTCTTCTGTATGGCAATGGTTAAAAATTTACAGGGGGGCAGGACCAGGAAACATTGGACTTTTTTCCCCTCACTTGTACAATTCACTTTGGTCTAATTTTCAAAATGGGTGACCAGCTATTTGAGATAACGTAGCTAGGGCTGAATGCCTCTAAAACCGGCACTTCTAGAGGTTCATCACTGCCAGCATTACTAAGCTCATTGCCGAGGAAAGAATGACTTGCTGCCTGCAGAAGTAACTGCAAAGCTGATTTGGGAGCCTTGGGAAGAGTCATGTGAGGGAAGAGCTGAAGGAACATTTTCTGTCTTCATCTCTCCCGAGTTTTGTCAGAATTAGCTGGAGTCAAAGTGGACAATGCCTTAAATATGAAAGTAGAATGTCCTAAAATGCAGGGTCAAAATGTGCTAATTAGGTAACAATTAATTTTGAGTGACCTCTAGTGGTGCTTTCCCACACTTTACCTTCACGCAGTTAACTCTGATCCCCAATAGTCACTGAAGTTCAGGCTCTATATTTAATAGCACTTCCCCAGCAACAGGGTAAAGAGGAGGCCACGTCATAGGTTTGTTTTTCTGAAAACAGTTCTGATAACTTGATAAAGAAAATAAAAATGTTCTTTATGTATACCTTTCTGCTAAAATCATTGTTTATCATTTATTATTACATCAGGTAAAGCAGTCCACAATGCAAGATTTCATTGCATGAATAAGGACGACTATGCCTGTGCAGCAATAGGAAAATATGATTTTTTCCAGATGCAGGCACACTGTTATTAGCTTTAACACAACCTGTATGGGCAATAAGATCTGTGATGATCTTTAAATCCATCTCCTGTGGTATTCCTACCTGCAGCAGCTACAACAAAGCCAGAGTGGGACTGCAGTCATGGCTGTGCAGTTTGCAAGTTGAGGACCAGAAGAGAGCTGTGCATAGCAAGAATTGAGGGATTTGCCATCTTCAAATGAGGTGTTTCACTCTAACAATTATTTGGGTTTTCAGGCAATACGAAACTATTTTTTATTACCCTGACATTTGAGAATGCACAATCTATCAGTGGGTCAGCTGTGAGTGCTTTGCAGAGATTGCATTTACCACCTTACGTATCCCATGGGAAGGCAGGACAATTATTAGCTAATTGGCCATCATGAGTTCAGAGATCTGTATGAATATTGGTGGCTCTGTTGCATTTCTCAGTCTCTGTCTCAGCACTTCCACACACCTGGGATTCTTCCACTAATACATGTGCAATCCAGATATCTCGTTCCAAAAACATAGCTGGTAACCAGAGAAGTGCCAAAAGGTCACCTGGAGGTGACCTCCTCTGATGAGACATAAGACCAGGTCCTTCACTAATTATGACTGAAAAAAAATCCCATGAGATGGTTTATAGATGTGGCAGAATGATCCCAGGTGTCCAGATAAAAAGGATCGAGACTTACTCTCCATATTAATAGTTATGCATCTCAAAGTGCTGTCAGGAGAGGCTGCAGACAGACAGACAGACTGCTCCTGTGGCTACCCTTGTTCTCCCGTGAGGTTGTCTAGAATTGTCTTGCAGGCCAGCAGCTTCCCTGCAGTCAAACCTGCTCCCCAAAGAAGAGATAAATAGGTATTAAATCACAGGAAGGTCAAAGTATTTGCTCAAGATAACACTGTGCAGTGATGGAGATGATGGGAGCGATCTGATGCTCAGGCTCCCTGCGCGTCAGTATCTAATTGCAGGAGGTGAGGCTTTGTGCTAAGTGCAGGTTTCAGCTAAATGTGGCAAATCTTATTTTTTCAAATGCTCCAGAACACCAGTTGGTAATAAATTCGTCCCCTTAGCTTTTCCTAAGTTTTTACCTTGAAGTGAATTTTGAAGCACTTCCCAAGCAGAAATGCTGCGTGTTTGTTCTGTAAAAGTAAGGGGCAGTAAAGTATGTCTCATGTGGGCTGAGAACTTCAAAATCAACGAGCAAGTAATCATAGACTGTGAAGATTTACTGTCTTCACAATTACAATCCCACAGACCCATGAAAAATCACAGTGAAATATATGAGTTAGTTCTGATGTACAGTTTTGCAGACTTTAAATTTGCACAGGTACTGACATGGGCTTCAGAATAGGTGAATAAACATTCCAATGCCTTCCTCAAAATGCACCAGACCTGTATGGTGACACGTGACCTGTCATTTAGATGTTAATTTTTATGAATGGTCTTGAATTATTGCGGTACATAGAAAAGTGACTTTTTATTTTCATTCCCTAGATGCAGTGGCTTTTGATCAAGATTTTTGATCAAGTTGTAGCTGACTGACAGTTTCCTTCACTAAAAAGATTTAAGTCCAAAGACACTGTTAGAATATATGACATAATTATTTTGCCTAATGGAAAAACATTCATTTTGATAGCAGTCTTAAATTACTGCTGCCTTAAAGGCAAATGCTTTAGTATATTAAGGATTTGAAAATTGGCTGATTAGTGGTGTAAATCTTGAGCATGAAGGGAAAGGAAGGCTTGTATTTGGTCCATTATTTAATTCATCATTGAACAACTTGCAAGTATTTAATTATCTCTTTATTTATTGGGGTTTTTTTTCATGTATATATGTCCTGCCTGTCTTATGGGCTGAATTTACTTGTTTCTCACTTAATTAAAAATCTTTTAGCTCTTGTATTTCATGAATATTGGAGATATCCAATAGCACTCTGTGGACAATGCAGTGTTTTGCTAAATACTAAAAAAACGGTATTTTTAATCTTCTTAAGGTGCAAGTATGTCTATAATTAAACCTGGATCTGTAAGGTAAAAGGTCATAGTAATTTGTTTAAAAATACAGGTTTTAATTCTTGATTATTTCCTAATAATAGTCATGTTTGGTTTTAATATCAGTGAGAGATCACTATTAACTGACTCGGCCCTAGGACAAAGTTGTGATCCTTTCAAAGCACACAAGAGAAAAAAATGTCTCCATTGCTTTATGGCAACATAAAAGTAAGCAATTTGATCTCGTTCTGTAGAATCTTACCATTCTGAAAAAAACTTTTAAATCTATTTTACTTATAGTCAATGGTTAACTCTGGTGTGACACGTGAGTTTGCACTTAATCAATGTTATTGCGATCAGCTCCTTTTTCACCCTCTACAACAGAGTGGGAAAAACACGGTTAAATGAAGGAGCTGATGGAAACTCTTCAAATGAAACTTCAGTTTTCAGAGCAAGGCAGGGCAGCTCTGAGAGCCAGATTTGCCTGTCAAAGCAGAGTAAGTTGCTATTCAGTGGTATTGACTACAGGCAGAAATAAGCATGAGGATTTTAGGCAATAATTTAGCTTTAAAAAAAAAAAAAAAAAAAAAAGGAATCCAAAAAACAAATCACAAAATATGCAAGAAAGAACCGTTCAGATTTCCAGGCTGTAGGTAACTTCTACAAAATCATGGAAATAGAGAAAATGTTCTTGTACAGCTCCTGCATGCTAGCACAGCCTTTGCAGTGTGATGGCCCTGCATTTTGGGGAAAAAAAAACAAGACCTTCTAGAAAAAGACTGTGTCCAGAAGCAAAAATCCCATGCACTTCCCTAACAATTGTGTACCATTACTGACCATAGTCTTCAGTCCTCCGGGTACGGGGGGCCAAGCTCTGTGAGCAGGCTGTCAGGGCTCTCTGCCTGCAAAATCTATCCTCTGGGCATAAAGCCAATTAAGGATAGTTATGTTTTTTGTGCATCCCTTGAAACAATTCTTCCTTACTGGCATAAATCAGAAGAGACTGCACAGGAGTCATGTTAGGGGTTATATTAGAGCACAATGAAAATGTAGGAATTTTTAGTGATTCTGTCCTAATTTCCTGCTACTTGGGTAATATGTAGGTGAAGAAGGGAATCCAGCAATACACTGAGGGGGTGAGAATTTGTTCTCACTTATAAGTGTGTTTATTTACTGTTTTTAGGGGAAGAATATAATCTGAATCTTTTGGTTTTGCTTGGGTTATGGTGTAAGCTTGCAAGGGTATGGCAGGCTCAGCTGAAACTCGGGTTTGTATTAGGATCCAAGATGATAATTTTCCAGTAAATAAAGTGCAGCTTTGAAGTTGCTTCTTCACAAAGATTGCCACTGTCTTCTGCATCTGTTTTGTGGGGATTTGTTTTTCTTAATTCATCAGAAAAATAGCAACGAAAGAAGGATTTTCAAAGGAATGTTCATAGATAAAAAACCCATATATGACAAACTTTCCAGTGAAATGAAAAGAAAGATTTCAAAATATTCTTATTGAATAGTATTTTATGCAACTACTGCCGAAAACACAACTATGCAAAGGAATTTTTGCTTACCAGTAAACTTACAGTTTAAAGAGTTATGTTGCAGTTGCAATGCTCAAAGTCTCAGGCTTTCTGCAAGGCAATGAGATGGATTCTGAAGTCCTTATAAAGTCTCTGCAAAACATCATGTGTCTACCACAGATTCCTGAATAGAACAATTTAAGTTGCATCTCAGAAAACAGCTAGAAACTCTGAATTTTTGGCGTGCTTTAAATGACTGTCCTTGTTGTTATGGTAATTCTATGAAAAAGACTCTCAGAAATCAATTTGTTGTTTGCGTATAATTCCCGGAACTGAGAAAGAAGCTGCTGGATGTTGGGTAGATGAAGGAACTGCCACTAGATAAACTGTTGAGCTCAATTTAAGCCTACTAAATGTGCCAACATTTAAAAATCAATGGGCTTGATTGCACCATGCCCAGAGGGTGGAGGGAGTGAAGATGCTAATGGAACAGCTCGGATGATCTCAAAGGTTCTCTCACAACATTTCTTTCATAAACTGGGATGCTCTAAACCCAGTAAGGGCAGGACCACTGACTACATTATTGCAGGATATAGAGAGAGGAGGCTCTTGGTGCCTACAGATGTGAGCCATTAAACTCTAAAATCTAGACAAAACTTTGTGCTCGATTGGAAAGTAACATTATAATGTCAATGGGAAAAAGACAGAGTCAAAGTTGAATTTACCAAGCCAAAAACTGTGCTGAAGAAAAAGTAGTAAGAACATTTACATTTGTTAAAGGTATAATTGTACTGAGCACAGGCAAAGAAACTATGGAAAAGCAATAGCAGGGCTTGGAAGAGTGGGAATAATTTTACATGTGGAGGTCAGGGTGTGAGTTGCATTCAGTGTGCCAATTAAAAATCCCCAAACCACAGGATTTACTTAAAATTGTCAGAGGGAACAGAGTTTTCCAAATTGCATTTGTCCAAAGCCTGGCAGCAACATAGGAATCAGATTTTTTAAAAAATACTAATTCTGACTGAACTCACACATACGTGCCCATTGAAGTATGAAGGATTACCCTAGGGGGGAGCCAGTTACCTGCAGGATTTCAGAGAAGAATGGATTGAGTCCTGCAGAGAATAAATAGTATTTTCTGGATTTTGGATGACATACTAATACCTGGGAGGAATTCAGACGAATATTTACAAAACCTTGAGGAAATTCCAACGTGTTATAAAGTTATGCTTTAAAGTGAACAAAATGAGATAGTAGGTGTGGGATTTTTTATTTCATCTTCCTAAAACCAAGTTCCTTGCCTAAGTTCCAGGAATAAAGTCTTTAAAAGAGAAGAGAAAAATGGAGTATGTATATGCTTGGTGTTGCACAATTTCTGTTATCTTTATCCATGTTAAATGTTCCTTATGGAAGTTCCAAATTAACATTGCTCATTAGGTTGATGTGTTTCCTGATATAGGAAATATAAAATAGATGTAGGTGGAGCATTAAAATAAGATTTTTGGAGGAAGACGACAACAAAATCCAATATCCCTTACCTACAAGGCTCTACAAGTCTCTCCTGAGGAACACAGTGGCCTCAGGGACACTTGTGTGCACTTCTGCCTTGGCCTCATCCAAGACCTGCTGGAGAGAGGCTCTTTGGTTATGTCCATTCACTCCCTAGACTCAAGAGAAATGGGATTCCTGCGTATTTTAGTACAATCTTGTGGCCTGTGTGTTCAGCTTAGTAACAGGGAGAAGAAAACATTATTGTCCTCAGTTAATTGCTTCTTTGTGACAGAATACACTTCAAAGACACTTTAGTCTCAAGTGCATCTTAGCAGAAAAAAACCCATATTACTGATTTTAAAACCCCCTATTTCCAGCAACACAGATGAGTGAATTCCACATAATAGAATATTCTCCACCGAGCATCTCCATATGCAGAAGTGGAATGTTAAATTAGTTTGGGGTTTGGTTGGGGTTTTTTTGTTTTGTTTTTTAAAGTACTGTTTTAATGAGGTGTTTAGTTTAGCACATTTGGCTCCTCCAAATTACCTCAAGGGGATTCATATGTTAACGAACTACACAGCTGTTGTTTGTGAAACCAGCCTAGCACTAGCAGAGCATGTTGTGCAAAGATTTAAATGCTCTTTTGGAGAGGTCACTGTACTCCTTTGTCTGCTGTCAGTTATTAATAAAGAGCCTACTACTTAATTTTATACACTAAGTTAATTTTTTTTTCAGCATCAAATATGTTCCAGATTGGTTCGGTATGGTACTGAATGCCTGGGTTGAGATAGGAAAGTTGCAATCAAAGGATGACCTGATTTTATGCAATCGACGAAGCATTTTGGGGTGGGGAAGATTGGCAATGAAGTTTCAGGCTTTGGTGGTGGCCTGAAGAGGCTGTATTGAGCAGAGATAACGTTTGCAATGATAATTGTTTTATAAACATGCCCTGATATGCTTCAAAAGCTTTAATTCTGAACTTCTTATATTAGGCAGGCTTTGCTCCTGGCAAGCAATAAACTGCTTTCATTTTAGAAATGTCACTTTACATTTAAGGAAATTAATAACTGAGGAAAAAAGAAAAACAAAATCCTGTTTGGTAAATAAGGGGAAAGAATCTATTTTTTAAAAAAATTTCAATTCAAGTATCCAATTAAAATTAACAGAAATCATCATTGAACAAACCCTCAATTTTTAAGAGCCAGAGTGACAGAATTTATATGCTAAAACAGGAATCTCAGTTCTCACCATCTCACGGGAAGCAGGATTGGCCGAGTGACGCTGGCAGTGTCCCACTGTTCCTGGAGCCTGCGGGGCTGCCGTGTCTGCAGCATCGCCGTGGAAAACCCCCTGGGCACCAGGTTGTCCAGAAGACATGGGCTAGGGAGTGCTGCTTCACAGCCTACTCACACATAGCGCTTTTCAGGCCATTCTGGCTTGTAGATCATTTAATCATTTAAATATCTGTGTTTGATTTCCTTCATGTGCTTTATTGCTGGAAATAAGTTCCATGATTAATCATTAACATCCGAGCAGCCTCTGCTGGCTGGTGGAGACAGAGCTCTTAGCGGCATAACATGTTAAAAGATTTGATTTTGATATATCTGCTGCTCAATCCAGTTTTTTTTGTTGTTTTTTTTTTTTTTTTTCCTCCCTCAAAGGCATTAGTATTTAAGTAAAAGAAATTATATTTTGCCTAGAATTTAGGTAGAATATAAAATAGATGTATGACTGGAGCTTCGCCAGTTTTAAGCTCTCCATATTGACACTGTAGTACCAAGAACAGTGGCTTCTGTCAAAGCAAATGCAAACGCGGAATGACTTTCTTGAACACAAAGCAGGAATTTCATCTAGGCCTCCATGATACGGTTCCGAAAACATAATTAAGCTCAGACTTAATAAAGCCTTTCCCTTGCTGAAGACAGAGAGGTTACCAACTATTGTCAAGGTTTCTTTGTAAATCAAGTTTTCAGACAGATTTGATGTTCCTCAAAGAGCCCTTCTAAAAAGAAAACAATCCACATTAGGGCGAAATACAATAATGTTTTACCGACATCCTTGTATTGCTATTTTACAGAGGAGGAACTGAGGCAAAGAGTGTCCCAGAGACCCAGCTCTCCCAGGTTATTTAGCTTGGAAATAACCTTGGGGATCAGTTCAAGCTCACAGCAGTTCAGAGCAAAGTTAGTTTTTAAGACTGTGGGACACTCTCTCTCCTATGCCAATGCAACCATCTGAGAAGAATAGTAGGGATGACAGTTAATGTCACCTACAGTGTCTGCTCATTGAATGGTCATCTGTCCCCAAGGAAGTGAGCTAAAATCAACCATTCATTTAACATAGGCTATTGAAAACCATCCATGCACAAGCTTTTTACTTAAGCAGATGAGCTGGATGCAAACAGATAAACTGGATTGCTAAAATTATAACACATCCTTTCCTGTTTGCAAGCCCCTCTTCTGAATGTTCATTGAATGGGGATATACGGAAAATGGTGGGGGATTTTTGCTTTATTTTTTATTGCTAACTATGTATCATGGAAATACACCAAATGCAGTGTGCAGGCTGTTTTTTGGACATTATGAGTATTCAGTGCAAAGATATTTGTAATATGGTGAATAAGAGGCTGTTCCCTTGCTCAGCATGGAGCTAGAATGACTGCCAATCGTGAATGAAGTCACCTTCCATTTCAGGCTCTTTTATTGAAAAAGGATGAGTTTTCCTGCAGATCTGGATTTGCCATGTATGTTCCCTAGGAACTGGTTGAGAAACCCAGCATCTCTGCAAGGTGGGGAGCTTGGGAGTACATTTACACCCTCTTTCCCACTGTTCAACCCAGTCACTTGTGTTCAGCTCACAAGCAACCTTCTCCTCCAGAGGACAGCTCTTGTCCCCACTGTGACTTTGCAGCTCCAGTAGTTTTATGGATATTTTCAAGGACATGAAAAGCTTTTTCATAGGGAGCTAGGACTGGTAACGAGTCAGCAGAAACCATTAATGATTTCAGGTCCTCCAAATACTTCACCTTGTTCATTTATGGATTCACCCAAATATATATGTTAACAGAGATTAGAGGTTCGGGTGGGGATGGATGACTGGCAGATACCAGGAGTTCAGTAATACTCCTAAAAGTAAAAACTCCTAGCCAAGACAGAAGGATTTCCTATAAATATTTAAGTAACAAAATTAAAGATTCTTTAGTAAGTAATGACGATTTTCTAGATAATTCTGCTGACAAATCTAGAAAAAAGCTAATGACATCTGAAGGCATAACAAGTCCTGTGGAATGGAATTTTGTCACGTCCTTCAGAAGAGAACATATCTAGTGATAAAGGTGCAGAGTCATCTCACTTGTGGCCATTTTACATAGCAGCTAACATACGCAAACATTTTCCCATTTATATGAATGAGAACTGACTTTATGAGATGGTTGTTAGACCCTTGTATTTAAATACTAATAGCTCACTGATGCATCACTACTGATGCAGGGTGTCATTTCTGATAAAAACCCAACTCTTCCTGTATCAAAATGCACTTATTGTGCAGTAATTTAATGACATAGCTCTTCCTTTTTATGAGCTCTGAAAATATCTCATTAAGAGTTTCACAAATTACCACAATAACTTATGCTGACACGCTCATTTGTTCTCATCTCTGAATAAATCTGGTTGACAACTTTAATAGAATAAAGTAGGGATTTCCCAGACTGTGATTCAGCATTGAGCTTCACTCAAACACCTTGATGTTATCTTGAGCTCGAACATTTGATTAAGCCAAGGTGTGAGATTCCACTTCAGACAGGCTCAGATGAGACCTGTGCGTGCTGTATGGCGCTAGCGTGAGAAAACTTGAAATGTTTTTCCTTCTCTCTCAGATCTACTATTTCAGCACTCTTCACCATCTGGTGAAACACTTCAGAGAAGAAAACAGTCTTGCAATGTCTAATTTTGCCATGTTTTTGGAACATTATTTTAATGATCTTTGTGTCATTTAAGTATGATTACTTGTCCTCCAAGGCTTTTCCTGTTTACACTTAAATAGTATTGGCACATAGCCAGATACACTTTAAATGAAATGGTACAAAATATTACATTTTTATCATAAAAGCTTAAATGCAACATTCACAATTAGGGGACATAGCTGGCACTTTGCATTCTGGTAGGTTTTTTGTTTTGATCTTATTGTAGTAGTAGATAAATAAAATTAATTAAGCAAGCATAATTACCAGTTAAATTTTACAAAATACTGAAGAAATGGAGGGCCTAATTCAAAGGGGTGGTAATGGTGTAAATAATTAAGTCAAATTGTTTTCATTTTCATGCTGCATATTGTTTCCTTCAGCCTGTAATGGTACAAGGCAAAGTATACGCAGTGCTAGAACTAGACAAATAATAGATAAATTTATTCATAAACACTTTGTGGATTGTAATTAGAAGTTCACTGCAGCAGCTTTCACTAGTCTTTATTTATTTATTTTTTTTCCCTCTAGTTTCTGTAAATATTTGCCCAAGTAAATTTTTGCTTTGAAGAATGTAGATGGAAGCAGAGCACACCACTGAAGTGTTGTCAAACCGTCTTTGCTTCTTGGCTGGAATGGCAGCCGGGTCCCCAGCATCGTGTGCGCCGAGGTCTGGCGTCCTCAGCACGCACCGGGCGAGCAGGGCCCTCTGCCTGCACTAACCTGGAGGAGATTGTGTGTGGGAGGGGTTTTTTGAGTCGGTGTGAGATGAGTTTCCCTTCTTTCATTGCTTAATGCCCTAAATAGAGCTTTTCCAACCAGGAGACACAAATTATCTGGCAGATACTGCCAATAAACCCACCGAACCTCAGGGCTTTTAGCAGTGATTGCTGCTAGAAAATGGGGCCTGGCAAATGAAATGATTGTGCAGGGTAAATATAGCGCTGAATACAAGAGGAGAATATGATCGCTCCAGTTCAGTGCTGGTGTACTTTTCTTCAAGGAGCTCGTTTTGGTGCAGAGCTGCGATAACACAGGGAGGATGCAAGCTCAGGAGCTCCTTTGGGGGCCGGCGCTTACCACGGCGAGGCTTTGAACGCCGGGTAGCGATGCTGAAAGGAGCATTCAGAGCAAATACCACATCGGCAGCTCCTGGGCTGAAACCTGTTTGTGTAACTACCTCTCAGCTTATTTTAGGCAGAGTACAGATTTATTAAAATTATAGTTTTGAAAATTCAGGGGCACAGAAGCAGGTGAAACCTATTGAATAAAAATTTGCCATTCAGCATGCTTTAAACGCATTCACATTTAATGAAATCAGAGATAACATTAGGATTACCTGTACTTCCTCAGGTTAGGGGGACCTTATTCCACACCGATGCATCCACCTAGTTCCTATTAGTGTTATTAAGCTGTAACGTGAGTGGCAGAAGAGACTGTAGAACTGCTTGCAGCTCTCACCCACAGGTAGCCCGCACGTGCCGATACCTCGATCCCCTCACGAGCACTGGAGTGCAGTGCTAGGTGATGCAAACCACTGCCTAAAAAAGCTCTGGATGGGGGTCAAAACGACAGACTCCTCGGGTCTGCTAATACATGGCGTGTTCTTCCAGCAGCCTGAGGGAGAGCTGCAAAATAAGGTGGTGCTTTCGTTCACCCCTCGCCGCAGCGGAGCACAGCTTCTGCATAGCACTACTGGCCTCTGCTGCCAGCATGGGAGAGGAGGCGAGGAGAAAGGCTGTACGGGGACTTACCACATTTCTGCTTCTCCAGAGGGCCTCCTGATCCCTGCGTATGAGCTGGAGGAAAAGCAATCTTTCATCTTTACCTTATTTTCATGCTTACAAATAAAGGTCAAGGCTCCCATGCTGTAGTCAGCGCCGTATGAGCTTTAAACAACCACCCTGAAATGTGATTGTAATTAGTTTCCTTTCAATCTTGATATGAACAGTGATCTTAAAATGCCAGGACTGTAGCAGTGCATATGATTAACAAGCACACAGAAAGGCAGTCTATGGAAAAATATGGATAGAAATGAACAAAATGCAAATGTTGCACTGCTTTAAATTTTATTATCCTCCCAGCTCTTCATAAAATACTGTAGACATCGTTTGATTATATTTTTAGTCTAGGGAATTAATTTTTAACTAGGGAACTCGTTTCTGTCTTATGATTACTCTTCTCCGCAATGGCCTGTAGGTCTGAACTAAAAAATCACAGTTTTAATTGAGCTAATGATGCCCAGAACTCAAATTAATCTCACTTATGTGTGTGTCATGCCATGCAATATGTGCTATAGCTGCAGGCAACGTGTGCATCTTTTCATATCAATGACTCCTTCAGGAGACAGAGGGTGTAAATCCTGGTCAGGGGTAAGTCTGCATCCTGCTATTCTCACCTCCTGGGAGACTCCTCAGTGGCTGATGTCTGTGCAACCAGTGGAGGGGAAGGAAAGACAACAAAAGCAGTGATATTTTGTGATCATTTCTCTGATTTCACCCCAGTTCTTTCAAGGGCAGGACTGTAACTTGCAGAAGAGCCAAGGGAGGGTGAAGACGGGCGCTGAGCAGCGTGCTCTGGCCACATCTGCCCCCGGCCCCGCTCCCGTCTGCACCCACAGACGGGTGGGGACCGCTGCCACGGAGGCAGCAATTCCCTTACCCAGCTGAGGAAGGACAGCAAGGCTGCTTCTATTTTGCTTGTGAAACTATTCGGGCTGTATTTTCTACCTGGGAAAACTTTTTTTTTTTTTTTTTTTCCCAACTGCCAGGAGTATTCACTTCCTCAAGATACAGGTCTTTAAAAAAGTTTTCAGAGAAAGAATAGAACTAGGAGGTCATGATAGAGGCGCAGGGGGTTTATTTCTATCCTGAAATAAAACGGAGGAGGAATATGGTTTAACACTCTGCAGGTAGCTGTTGCTTGCATGCCCGGCAGGCTAGGTGGTCCTACAGCACCCTGACCCAGACATGCACAGCTATCCTAACCCTGACATTAACACCTGAGACAAAACTGCACACCAATACCTCCCCGAATATTATTTATTCTCTTCTCCAAACAGTTTGAACTTAGACACCACTGTTTTAGAACACCATCATGTCTTGATACAGCTGAGACAGTCCCCTTACTCGGAGTATGTGGTTCCCAACATCTGTAGAGCACAGCTCTGCTTGTTTACCCGACCCTGTGCCCAGCACCCTGCTACCTTGGGCTTTCACATTCCGCACTGAAATCCGCTTTAAACAGAACAGTGAAGTTCTAATCGTTTGTTGTCAAAAAGTTTCAGTTTTGTGATGAAAGACGTGACCTTTCTTGCCAGCAAGAGTCTTTTTTGATTGATTAGTAAACATGAAGTAAAATGCAGGAGCACACCAGTGTTAACCTGATACTGCCACAGGCTCTGTGCTTCAAATATTTTTGCTTTATTTTGAACAACCTGTTAATGAGAAAAATATTCTAATCAAAGAAATGTGTTTCCTTCGATTCTCTTCGGAGTGTTATTTGCAGCTTCAGAATAGCATGCTCAATTATGTCTGTTTTATTCCTAAATTAAGAAAAAAATCTTCAGAAAAATATTAAGCCTCTTAGCAACTGTTAAGCAACATCCAGTATTAATTATTTAATCACTTTTTTATTATTTTTCATCAGGTAAGAGAATAGCATACTTGCTCAAAGTATTTTTCACAAAACACCTTCGCACACCAGACCAAGCTCAAAGCAAATGCAAGGTACGATGCCTCTGCCTACGCAGATAGGCAGAAACCTTTTTTAAATGCTGCTGGAGAGGCCAGTGTAACCGAGAGCAAGAAGCAGTGTTTTTTTTAATGTGTTCTGGCACTTCAGTGAATGGCTGGTAAAGGATCACATCCAGACTGAGCATGAGATGTGCAAATGCTGCAGAGACAGCATCAGGTGGGGGTTCCTCGGTGCTTAGCAGCTTCTCAGGGTGGACTCCGTCTCTCTGGGTGCTGGTTTTGTTTCACGGAGAGCAGTTACCTACCCTTTGGATGAAGTTTCTTTCACCTCAACTCTCCTCGGCTGCTGGGAGAAGCCTCTCACCCCGCTATCGCATCACATTTCAGGGAACCCAACTGCGCCAGGGCTTCGCCTCCCAGTGATCCCAGCTCTGCATCCCCGCGGAGGCACCGGCCCACGCTCAGCTTAAGGACAAGGCAGCAGAAACTGCTGATTACGGATGCAAGATCCCAGCCCATCACCACATCTCCAGGAGACTGCCTGAGGCAAGGAGGCTCCTGAGGTTTCCTGAGAAGAGTGAACAACGTCAGCACAAAATGCAGCGATACTGCCTGCTTGCAGAGCAAGCATCGGCAGGGGATTCACCAAGTGTTCCAGGGGCTCATGCAAAAAGCTCCTGTTTCCCAAATTTCCCATAAGCCAGGCTGAATTAATTCCTCAAATATAATACATTCTAGCATCATTGGTTAAGATGGCAGAGACCAACGTAAACTTACAGTTAGTGTTATTCCTTTTTTCTTTTGCAACTAGACCTTTTCTCCTCAGCTCCATTTGGGTCATGTGCTAATACCTGTGTGAACATGCAGGGAGGTTGTGCACATTTCAGCCATGAAATGGGCATAGGTATTTCTGAGGTGAATTTTCCAATCATTAGCATTGTTGATAGCATGTATTGCTATTTTTCATAAAATACATCTGAGCAAATGATGAGAACTGCTGATCGCGACTGAACAGAAAATGGCTAAATGAGAAGAGTCTTGAAAATTCCCTCTGCAAGGGCTGGGATGGCAAAGGACCATGGATCCTATGAATTATTGCCATAATACAAACTTACGTTTTGACATCTGTAGCTTTCTTTTCAGAATCCTGCAAATTGTTGGTTGTCTTGTTCTTTTCTCTAGAGTTGCATCTATGCATTTACCACTACAGTTCTGTATTGGTGGCATACTGAAAATCACATGGCATCTTGGCCTGTCTCTCTGTCTCCACCACCAGAAAAAGGATAGTCTTCAAGTCCACATGCAAATATTTTCACACTTCAGCAGCCAGGCCTTATGCCATTAAGCCACTTTCACTAGCATTGCTGAAACTCTCTTTGATACTTGGAACCAGGTTTTCTCATCCTAATTTCTTCTAGGACAGATGTACAAAAACACATCATCGCTCCGTAGGTGTCCAAGACCCACCCTATGGGTTGCAAGTCATCATCTAGGTCAGGACCGATGCTTATAAAAATCCTTGTATGGCAAGGTCTGTACCATAGCTGCCTGGCTTATACTCGATTACTTGATTTACTTATCTTCATAAACATGCACTTGTTTCCTAAACTTTTTTTAGAAGTATTAACATGAAATAGTTCCTCCAAGAGCAGTAAAGAAGTCTCAATATTTTTGAGTCCATCAAAAAGACTTTGCTACACTATAAAATATAGGTGCCTTCAGGGATAAGCTTCTTGCTACCTAAAATAGTCCCTCTCTACACATAAATATGAAGTCCCAACACTTTTTTTTGCATAGTTCACAATTTCACTCTCATAAAAACTATTTATAACAATTCCATCAACCGTCATTTAACAGCACTTCTATACCAAGTATACCAAGATGTGATTAGTTCTTCATGTGAAAGTCATGAGTTATGTCAAAATAACTGACAACTCACTGGTCAAACTACTTACAGCAGGGAAGAAAATGCTGAGAAAAAGGAGCTGAGGACGGTAGGAATCATCAACAGGGCAAGTACCAGGAACATGACAAGAAACTTTCAGATTTACATTGGGTGATGTTCCTTGGTGCGTTCACATCCATCTGTCACCTTCATTTGGGACCACACTCCTTGATTCAAACCGATAGCAAGTATCTGAGTCAAATAAGTGAATATTTTTGCTAAATGTTGTCTGTCACATCATGTTACTCCACTTTTGTTTCTTCACCATGTACTAACATGATGTGGTGTAACATAGCATGATGCAGCATAAATGATGTAATGTGACATGACAGAAAAACATTGCTTCAGTTTTTGGAATGAACACCTAATTTTAGCAGTTAATTTATCTGCTGGAAACAGTTTGTTAAAACATGTAACCTGGGTCCTGCTAAAGTACATTGCACTTTGCAGTTTGCATATCTCTAATACTTTCCATAATACGTCCTTTGTTTATTTTCTTTTATTCCAGAAGCCATGTTCCTTTATAGGGTTGTTTTCTTTGTGTTTTTAATTTTTATTAGAAGGAAAATATTGTCTCACAAAAACGGGGGAAGGGAACTAATTTATGTCATGAGTGGAGACACATATGGAAAAAGTCCTATTGTATAATGAAAACACTGGCTCTATTAACAGCAAAGAACATATTTACCCACAGGTAATAATAACAACAGTAACAGAGTTTAGGAGAGTTGCTTTTCCTTCAAAAACTTCAGCAGAATGTTATAAGTGAAAACTGGGTAAAAATCATCTCTCCTTGGAGAAATACGAATGCAGATAAGGCAAACATTTAACTGTTGATTTTGTGTTTGTAGATGTAGGTTTTATGAATGGGAACATTTTCAATAAGACAATCCAAGATTTGGGTGAGCCTTCCTAGAATTTTGGTTCATTATCCTTGTCCTGACTGACAGAAATATTAGCAGTGGGAAATAAAACTGCTGGTTTAGTTCTTTAAAAAATAAAGTCAGTTATTCATATTGAATATATTCTTTCCTTCCAAAAATCCTTCCTTCTGTGTGTGGATGCGTGAAAGCTAATTAAATTGGCAGCCATAGCTCTGTACTTCTCATTTGGAGGGCCTTCATCTCAAGCCAGAAGAGTTTCATCCTTCAGGTCCTTGTTACAGAAGAGGGAAGGGGAATGAAACGCAAGTGACCTTCAGCTAATCAGATCACAAAGTTCCAAATAGAGACAGATTTCAGGAACAATAAAATAAATCATCTTGGATCATCACAGTCTCTTCAAAAGGAATAAAACTGTTCCCATGAAGATAGATACGTGGTTTCTGCAAGCTGAAGCTCGTTTGGCACGTTCTTCGTCTACCTGGCACTTTCTGAAGAATAACCTACAACTGTCACTGGGTACCTGTAAGGTTTCCATCAGCTGTCCTTCTCACCCCTCGCCCAGAAACATCCACCTTGATCCATGGCATACAACCCTAATGTTAAATTTCAGAGATATCACAAATGTGGATCTGGGGCTGTGGCCAGCAAGGAGGAAAAGGCCTTCGATGCTGAAAGGAGAGAAACAGGCTGATGGTTGCACAAAATCTGTCCTCCCATGGGGATTGTGCTGTTGTCCCAGCACTGTGGTGGCCCTGGGGACCCCTGGGGTCCCCAACCAGCCCGTCCTGGCAGAGCAGCTCCTCATTGGGAAGGGGATTTACAGGGCTGCAGGTCTGATAGCACTCCGAGCCAAATCCTGCATTTTGTCCAAATGCAAAGCACCTTTTGACCTTTGGTAAAAATTAAACACTCTGAGGGATTGGGCAAAGCAGATTTTAATTTATAATAAAACTGGGGACACCGTTGCCTATATTTTTACAAAGACCCTGAAGAGCCCTCTTGCTAAGTGAGCTCAGCAAGCTGGCAATGTATTTTAATGTATTTATTTGATTATGCATTCATTCTTTCATTCATTCATCTATTCAGTCATTCATTCAGACAGTTGTTCATTCATCCCTGTCCTTTTGCAGGAAGAGAACATAAGCCAGCAGTGGCATCCTTCTTCACTGTCCTGATTTACAGTGATGTCTCTGAGTTTGTATCAATAAATCTCTTTGGCCCTCTTCAATCCAGCATTATCCCTCATTAGTGACTGGGATTTAAAAAAAGGATTAAAAATAATATCAGATTATAGATAGATAGATAGATATGTATATTGGTTGCAGTGCTTTGATTAAAGTGCTGGGGTGTTGGTGGTTTTATTTCTTTTATTTAAGACCTCTCATATTCACAATTCTGTATATCTTGCAATTATTTTAAGACAATCCCTGACTTTTTATTAACTGGCCCAATAATTTTGCTATCAGTGCTGAATGATAAGGTCCCCATGGCCCTCCCAGTGCCTGCCCAGTGGCTGTTGATGTAGAGGGTTGCTCCAGTGAGTCTGGCTCTTGCATCTGCCTTCGTTGCTGCTGTTGGATCTTTTGGTGTTTTCTGGACCAAGGAAATATTTATTTAAAAAATAACCTTTCTGGAGAGACCATCCCCGATCTGGTTGCTAGCAGGTAGCGACTGTATGGTCTGTGTCTAGAATTGCCTCACCATCACTGTACTTCTCAGCCCAAACATGTACATTTTATCTGCTTCTGAGTGTGCCTTAAACACGAGAATATTTCCTCTCAAGAAGACTGAAGTGAAGGGGAACCACTCTTTGAGTTGGGATTACTGACACTCTAATAGCTGCTGGGACATTTTTTCTCCCATATCTCTGAAATATCCTTAATTAATCCTGCAGACAACTTGCAACATAATTGTGTCCCTAAACCGTTAACCTTGAAAAATATTTGACAGTGTACTAACATCTCAGAAACTTGTTATCACAGGGAATATAATAAATCCATAAATATCCTAGTTTCTCTCAGAAGTCCCAGAATAATTGTTTCCAGTTTTGTTTTTTTGTTTGTTTGTTTGTTTGTTTGTTTTTTTCCCTTGGTTTCCTGTTTGACCTGGTTGCATGAGATGTAGCGGAGAAAAAGGGCATGTTAAGATAAAGGGGCTGTTTGGAAGAAAGGCAGTTATGTGTCGTATATAACTTAGTATTTTTTGTAAAAAAGGGCTGTCCCTCGCATTTTTTACTCATTTGAATCTCTTCAGGGCACCAGCGGACAGAAGCACTGGATGGCACAACCTGCCATCTGCAATTGGGTCAGAACTAGTCCCTGGTAGACAGAAGAGACAACACTGCAATTCATCTAGTGCAGAGCCATAGTCGGCCTACAGTTGCAACTGCTTCTTCTTAAATAAACACCTTGTATTTAAAAAGAATTATGATGCTGTATTGGTTGACAATGTGTATAAATGCCATGTTCACTTTGGTTGAGAAAATGAGAAATTTAAAATGCATATATTCCTCTGTCATCAGTGGCCTTATTAAAGTAATGGAAATCCTGCATAACTGAATAACTTTAATTAAAGTTATTACAATTTCTTCTATTGGTTAGTCCTTACAAGCTCAGAAACTCTGTTATATTTAACAGTCTGGCATCAACTGCTGTTGATAACAGACACAGTCCTCTTCCAGGCCTGTCTGCTGTTCTTACTATGCTGCCATTTGAAATCATCAGGAAAAATAATCATAAGCTTAAAAAAGCTAAAGCAGACAGGCTGTTTCAGATTATTTCAGTATGTGTTTGCTACAACAACCGAATGTTCCTGTTAAAATCACAGTCTGATTTTCCTTCTGAAAACCAGGCTATAAGCGAAAGGATTAGACAAAGACAGACCCAGGGAGAGAATTTAGATCTGGGTTCAAATGTGCACTGGAAATTGTGGAAATGCTTTGGTTTGAAGCCTTCTTTATTTTAATAATAATTGTTTTCCTAAATATTTGTATTCTTTATGTATTTCTTTATCAGGGATTAACTATGTAGCTTAGTAGAAAACAGAAAAGGAGATCATTATTTTACAATTTAATTTAGAGGAATTTGAAGGCTCTGGATCAGTAGGGAAAGCAAGCACAGCTGCATTTCTTATAATTTTCCCATTAGAATATACTAATTTCCACACTGCTGCTCCCTTATTTTCGGTGTGTTTGTAGATATTATTCTCAAATTTGGATCCAGCAGCCCAGAAAGCCTGAAAAGCGTGAGCCTGTTTTTCACCAAAGGAACACTTTTTCACTTAGGTCAGACATGCCTTCCACTTTTCTTTGCCATAAAATGGCAAAACCGTGCTGCTAAAATTACATTATTATATGTTTGTGAACTTGTAACGCATATTTCAAAAAAGAAACTCGATATATCACGTACTCGTAAAACTTGGCCATCCTAGAGGTGCTTCACACTCTGGACTGTGTTTTGCCTTATAACAAATCTTTAAGATAGGGAACAACTTTCACCTCCACTGGGAGAAGAGCTGGAGCTGAGAGTAGGGGGACTATGTTTCAGGAAACGTGTGACACTGCAGGGAGAGGAACCTGCACCTTTAAAGCCTGGACACCCCAACTGCCTCAGCATCCTCCTTTGTGTATGACTTTTCTTCCCAGATGCAACTGCCTTCTCCTCAATCCCCTCAAATGCAGGTTTCCAAGCCAGCAAACAGCCAAAACTTTTACATGGTTTAAACATTTAAACTATCCAACGTGTTAAAACATTTACCAGGAAAATGTCAGGGCTGTTGTGTATACACTAAGCATTTCCTCACCTATGGTATTACATTTTGAAATGCTGGATCTCCTCTTCAAGGAATAGATTTATTCAACTCACTCCTTTTCACATACTAGAACTCATAAAAGGAGCTTTTTCACTTCTCACAAGATGTAGTCACTAAACATAGCAGATGACTGAAAAAAAATAAAAAAGAAAAGGCTTTTTAAATATTTGAATTAACACTGACAGAACACATTTGATCTGGACATATTTCTAAGGTTATCATCTGAACTATCACCAAATATCTGAAAGCCCTCAAAAGGGGTATTTATGAAATCTTTATAGGAAGTCAGACATTCCTATAAATGTAATTATCATTTAGTAACTCACTGTTCAATATTATCACATGGCCAGTGATACTTATGGTATCCAGGTGTGGTATCTGGTGATATCTTTTCCAGATATTACCCCTTTGACTGAAAATAAAGTCAGGTGATCTGAATGCATAGATTCCCCGCTTGACTGCCAGTTATCTGATATAAGCTCAGAGGTCACTACCCGTTCATTCAGGCTTTTGCATTTTCAAATATTTGTTTTAAGCTTGAGATTTATTTCCAAAGATTAACAACCCCCCTACAACCTCTTATTGGCTTTTTTTTACTTCTTTAAATCAGATATCTCTAACGATAGCGATGTCATCATCAGTACAATACCAGTCATATCAATATATTTACACCAGAAATACCTTCGGCCCAGTGACATGTTAGGCTGCATTACCAGCTCCTTTGTTAGAGAATTTTTTTTTTTTTTGCACAGTGTTCTGTTTGTCCTACGTATGCCACAGCTGCCTATTGAAGCAGCACAGCAAGGCTTTGGGGATTTCCCAACAATAAAGTTGAAATCTCTTTCCTGGTTAGTATTCAGCAACACTGTAACATTTAGCAGACATTTTCCCTTTTCCCAGCTTTCAATGGGCTACATTTATCAGCATGGAGTAGCAATCAACATGTATTTGCTCATGTATTTATATAAGTCAGCTGTATGCTTCCTCATTATTTGCAATTCTTCCTTTAAAAAACTTTGCTTTCTTTGTCTTCAGCAAGGAAATTCTGGGTATAGATTATGTATATATGGTTGTGTGTGGAAAGTACTTTTTGGTGTATAATAAATATATCAGTATTATTATAGGTATTTCATTAATAGCTAAGTGAATTATTTACATAACCCTTTAGTTCATACCCAGATTTATTTAATGTTGGCATTATAGTATTAGATAAGTTATCTCAAAAAAAAAAGGATCTCTGCACTTAAAACGCCATTTTCCCACTGGAAGCTAAATTCTAATCCTACTGGATTCTTGAGAAAGATAAAATAATATATCTGCAAACCTCTGAATGTGATCTAAGATAGCTGTCCTATTTATAATTAAGCTATGAACGGACATCATGGACGTTCTGAGAATGTAAGGAATGACAATTCTTGTTGAACAGAACAACCATGGACTACTTTGGGCGCCCAAAGGCATTCAATTTCAGAGCTTGCAAAGGTTCTGTATTTTGCCAGAACTAAATATTTCCCATCCTGTGAATGAGGCACTTAAAACAGTTGGGTGAAAATGGAGGAACTCTTTCTTTCTGGACTGGTTGTTTTAAAAGAAGGAAAGGTCCTTGAAAATTGCTCGAGGGCTTGGAAGAGAAGTCATTCCAATGATAAGACACTGGTGGGCAGGGTGCTGATAAATATTCAATGTTTTATTACATTTGAAAGACGCAGGCACTGCTGCAGATGCTCTCCCAAGTCCAGCACACACATGAGAACAAGAGGACATAGCAGGACCTCAAAGGTGCTGGTACAACAAGGTGCTCCTTGCCACAGTGTGCCCACAGTCACTCTCTGCTCGCTCAGCTTCAGCTGATTCTTCACACATGGTTTTACCATCACAGCTGAGGTGCTGAACAGCCAGCCAAAAACTGGGGGGATGATGAGGAGTGGGAGCAAAGGCTGCTTACAAAATGATGGTGACCCCAATCTACCTACTTCAAAGTGGCAAGATTTGACTTCCATTTGTACACTGATGTATACTGCTTTGCACCTCTAGTAATGTTTTTCCAGGGTAAAAGATGTAAAAACATACTATCCTTGAGGAAAGCTTTGAGAATTTAATTTTAATAAGTCACAATTTTATTTATTTAGCACAGCTTTTCTCAACCAGTTGGTTGCAACTCTGAAGGGTCATGAAAGGCAATTAGAAGACACAAGGCACTTAAAATCTTATTGCCACCTAAAATAAATGTCTAAATCCTACTCCCTCATTCCACTTATACCATAATCCCCCAAGGTCACACCCACAACCTTCTGAAACACAAACTACACTACAGAATTTAGAATTATGGTCACAGATTGGAGGGAGTTCAATTTCACTGTAAAGGCAAGAGTGTCTTAAATATGTTATTCATGAAATAAAGACCCACTTGTCTGGAAAGAGTGAAAAATATTGAATTAGTCATTAAATAAATGTGCAAATTATGCATTCATTTATCTTCCCTCCTTATCTCATTGACCTGTCTCATCAAATAGTTAAATACAGTCCTTGCATACTTTTATATCAAATGACAAAATTATTTTTTAAATAACAACTAATTCAGAAAAGCACTTTGGCACCTGTCTGGCCCTCACTGTCTCCAACTTAATGGCCATTAACTGTCCCAACTAAGTTTCCGGAATAGAATCCATTGATCTGTGTCAGTCAGGATCTTGAAAACTGGAGACCTGAAGCTTAAGATCCTAGTCTGCTAATATGCATTAAAATGTTCTAGGAGCCTTCACTGCACTTTGGTTCAGGCTCTGACAACCCTAACTCCAGCTAAAATTCATCCAAGTAAACCTTGAAATAAAACTAAACTATTTGCCTGGGCATGATAAAAAAAATCTCTTAATATTATCATTACTATTACTGTGACTATTAAGGAATAATTCTTTCTCTCTATTCAGTGGGATATCCCTCTTGGGGCTGCAGTTTGGGATTTCCATTTTACAGCCCGAACACCAAATGCAGTGAAATATAGACGAGCTGGTGAAAGCTCAGTAAAATGACTCAGAGTTGAATGGATTCATTCATGATGTTTTCCTTGTTTGCTCGTACATATAGAATATGTGTAGCTCAGCTGAGCTGTAATTATAGGACAACATCAAGAGCGGTCTAAAAGTACCTGAGGCAAACACCCTGAGGAGGGGAAGCTTCCTTTGGGACAGTACGTGGAGCTACAAGTATGATGAATGGGATTAGAGGACAAATGGAGTTGAATATTAAGAAGAAATTATTTGCAACAGAAGATCAGCTGAACTAAAATGGTCTCCCAAGGGAAGTAATAGAAACGGTGCCATTTGACATCTCTAATGCTAGATTTGGTAAACTGCTATATACACAGTGTGGAGAACAATTTCACATCTGCAGAGAGGTGGTAAGGACGAGCTAAAACAACCACACTGAATCCCTGACCTTTCTAACTGCCTGTGCTTATTTGTAAGTAGTATGGCTAAGGTCCCCACAATGCAACACTGCATTATCTACATATACACACGGTAGATCACAGTGGGTATGCAGATTTAATGAAACTCTGCATTTTTTTTTTTTTTTTCAAGATGTGGAAAATTCCCACATACCAACTGGGGTTAAAAAAAAAAGGTATATTTGTTTAACATTTTTCAAGAAATGCTGTTCCGTAGAGGCCAGCATTATAGTTAACACTACTTAATTCGATCCTTTGAGATCTTTCCATAGATACTTCCTATCCCAAGGCAATCTGAAATACAAACCTATTCAAAGTAAATCTGTCAGGTGGAAACCTGGAATGGCTTTCCTGATCAAATCCCAGTGGAACAGGCTGAGGTTGACTCCAGCTGTGCCAGCCCCGTGGCATTACTGAGAACAGGGCTGTGAACGAGGAGGTTTGGTGTTGCAGGGGTTGGCAGCAGCTGGGCAATCTGAAGGAAGCATCTCACGCCCTGGTGAGATGTCCAGGGCCTAAGGAATAAGAGAATTAAGTCTGGCCTTTATTAACTCCCCAGTACCAGCCTTTTAATATGATCAGTCTGTTTCCTCGATTATCTAAATCTTAGTTAGCCTCGTCACATTGTATTTCTGTGCTAATACAAAAACCAAGACACAACAGGAGCTTTGCAGTCTTCTTTCTCCTGCCATTGCTGACAACTCATGATATTTCTTAGTGGTTCTAACAATGCAATACTTTCTCCAATTCACTTGTTTTAGACTGACTTCATTAGTGACTTCACAATGCAGCATTTTTCTTATTGAAGTCAATTACATTTCCATTGTAATAGCAAGCTTGTAAGTCTTGACACTGGGCTGTGGCAAGACAGGCCTTCAAAAGCCTCGGGACGTGGCTGGTGACAGTTTCACCACCCCAACATGCGTGTCCAGAAGGCAGAAGAAAAATGCCAGCAGCTCTTCTTCATGAACCATACGCCAACCTCTGTAACAGCCTGGCTGGCTCACCAGCATCTGGTGCCCCAGGGAGATGAAATTTTAACGTGGTCATCTCCCAGAAGAAATGTCTTTCTAACTCTCCAGATAGACCAGCTACAAAGAATCCCCAGCGACAGGAACAACACAGAGCTGCAGGGTACAATTTGGCATATGGCCAGACTCGTGGTGAGGCAAAGGTTATCGGGAGCAGTCTGAAATTCAGGTAAGATTAAGGGAAACACAAGGCAGCAGAGAATTGCACAAAAAACTACGGAGTGTCAATATGGATCTTGAAAAGGAGGTGCCCTCACCAGCAGGCACAGCCAATAGAAGCCCTGAAGCTTTCCCTGCTCAAATCAAAACTCCCACAGTCTTGAAGTGAGACCAGGGGCAACGCTTCAGTCCCAGTAATTTACATTACTCTTATTCATATGAACTCTTAAGAAGTTTGGAATGTCTGAAGACCCAATCCACGTAGGTGTTTGCTTATATGTATGACTAATAAATGTTAGATAATGTAAATTATGTATATGTCACCAATCCTTCCCAGACAAAATGTATTACTGAGATTTGGTACCAGCTTGTATCAGACTTGTTGATGTCAACATTGGCAATGTCTTGTCCTTGCACTGGAGGACGTTCCACGAGAACGGAACAACTCAGCTGGTCCAAAAGGATTAGGAGAACTGATGGAGAAAAAAA